TGTTAAAAAGTAAATCAGGATATTAAAGAGGAAGTAAATCAAGTTAAAAGGTATAAGGGCAAAATTAAACCTTTTGTAATTAATGTCTTTTTACTTTTTCCGTCCTAAAAAATCTATATATATATAGTTGTTATTCAATATAATACATATTAATTAAAAAAACTATTCTTAGTAGCCACCATGATGAGGACAAGGGGATCATTAGATGTTCATGAAAGTTGTTAGTTGGGACGTAAATGGCTTAGAAGGTGTTAAAATTTTACCAAATATATTATGAAATATTTTTATGTAATTATTAGTTGATTTCTTAATACTGCGAGTATAATTTATGTTTCTATATATAAATCTCTCTTCTATGTGTATATATCCCTAACTCTATGTAATGAAATACAAGAATTATTCAGTATTTTTCTTTCCTAACCCTTTACATAGTATCAGAGTTAGGGTTACGGTTAACGTTTTTGAAGTTAGATTACATCAGACCAAATAAGGGTTGAACAATCTATTCCTAGCGTTGGAGGAAGTCGACCACCGTCCTCCGACCAGTTCAGATCGTGGCCGGCACGATGTTGCATGCAGAAGAGGTGGAGGAAGCCTTTTCTCTCGTTTTTTTTTGTCTTCACGCGTCGAGTGAGTAGGAGGAGGCTGTTTCGCGTGCGTATCGCGTTCGGCCTGAAGTCAGAACCCAAAGAGAAGCTTGGCCAGCCTGGTCTTAGCAAGAAACCAGAAGGCAGGAGCAAAGAAAGCCGAGGCAAATCAGATTCTGCGACAGAAAGCTTTTTCCAATTTGGTGCAATTTGAGGTGATTTTGCGAGCTTTATTTTGGATTTGGGTTTTGTGGTGATTTCCAGCTGAAGGGAGGTATTTTTGTGGTTTCTGGCGGCGACGCATGACTTTCTGGTGGCGGCGTGTGTGGTAGCATAGAATCTTCGGTGGTGGCAGTGTGGTTCTCTTGATTTCCGTGTGTGAAAAAGTATTCTATTTTCTTAGAATTTCTGGTTCATTTGTAGCGTTTTTCGGGTATCTTTGGCTGTTGTGTTTTGGATATTCTAAGTGACATTTTTGTAATTTTCGAATTGAAATAGATGATAATATTATTTGTTATTACTGCCGTGAAGAGGGACATATAAAGTAGTACTGTAAGAAATTATAGAATCACAATTGGAGGACACAGACAGCTAATATTGTTGCTTCTACTGCTAGTTTATCTTATGAGAAAATTATTATGATTTCAGCTGACAAGTATGCTAAATTCACTCAGTATTAGGAATTTTTAAA